TTGTGACTTTAAAAAAATGTCAATTGTTTTTATCGCCAGTCTCAATATATATTTTTTATACTAAGGTTAAACTTAAAGCTACCACATATAAAGAAACACGTTTTAAGGCCATATTGTTCAAAAAAATGCATTGCCAACTTTATATCGAACAGTTAGAAGTCTTACAGTTTGTAAGGCCAAAGGAAGTTAAATTTATGGTATGAAGATCAATGTATCACCTTTAAAGAAATAGGGTGAATACAGTTCTTATATCGGATTTACTGGTCGTGTCGAGACTTACTTAAAAAACGGAAAATGGGAATTTATTTATCTTAGGTGATTTTTAGATACCGATAGGAAGAGTTAAGAGAAAACTAGGCCTTAGGATGCAATTTAATTTGTATAAAAACTAAGTTTTGAAGAATCCCTTAATATATTGGTGTTGAATTAACTTACCATTCGTTTCGTTTGACGAGGCGAGTGGAAGGGATTCGAAAGTTGGCTCACTGAGTAGACGTAGCTAGTCTATAAAAGTAGGTAGGATTGCATCATGTATCATGCTTGGTAAAGTACAGGAAAGCATGGTGTTCTGCTCTGACAATACCCGTCACATGACGGATGAAAACACAGCAAGGATTCATCGGGGTCGCAGAGCGGTGCGCTGAGGACCTATTCACACAAATTTGCAATCACAGCTCTAGGGTAATTCCTCTACAGATTCCGGTGAGGCCAACTTACGAATCCCTTCCACTCGCATCTTCAAATAACTGAGAGGTACTCAAACATCAATATTTTACTAAAGTTTGTTCCCTTGCCTAAGTAGCCTCGTCCAAGCTCTCAACTAAATGAGAATTTTTAATGCTCGAATCTCCCGCCTTTTCCGCAAAATTGGTTACTAAGTTAGCCTCATTTGGCCTAAATTATTCAAATATTTAAGAAAGTTCACTTACTCCTCTGAGAAAAAGCTGGCATATAGTCGCTGTTTTAAGGAATCCCACACTGCCGCCACTACAATTGGGTAAGCGTAGCCACCAGAGCGACTACCTGCCCCTCGACGTCTCGAACGGTGGCTATAACTTCCATTCTGCTGCGAAACTGGCAGCTCGCCGGATAGACTGCACTCAAGCTCAGCCGTAGCGATTGTAGCAAATTCATCTGCCTTTAGATATGATGGACCACCGGGGTCATTTTTGCAGATGCGCACCAGTCTTGCGACTGCACGCTGCTGGGGTAAAGCTCTTGCCTGCACAAAATCAGCTCCGTCATGTAAGGGTCCAGGGTACAGTTTGCTCTTCCCCTGTCTCCGCGTGCCCTCCTGCCTCTTCTCCTCCCTAAACTCCCTCCTAGCTTCGTCCTCGTTCTTGTAGTCATGTTCCTTGGAATAAGAATCAAATTTTGTCTGCCCTACGCTACCTACTACCCGTGTCCTGATTTTACGCCGAACGCTTCGCTTAATTCGACTTGATAACTCCTCTTGGTGCTCTGGACGCGGAAAGAAGGACTTCCAGTTTTTACTATTTGGTGTCGAATAGCTTATATTTGACAATGAAGAATTAGTCGTATTGTGTGGTGAAAGCGACAAGCCCTCATGCTCAAGTCTCTGCCTCCTCGTTACAGATGATCGAGGTAAACGGCCACCACCAGAATTTGGGTTGATAATAGAAGAATGTAAGTCCCAAAATGGATCGCGGTTTACTGCACCAGCACTACAGTGAACATTTGAAGTCTCACGAAGTAAAAAGTAGACAGCAGTGCTCGTCTGGAAGACTGCAACGAAATCAGCAGGTTCTGAATATAGAAATCGGAAAATCGAAAAGAAGTATAATAAAATATAGGAAGAAAAACTAGGTTTCGGAAGGTATTCTTAAAATGGTTTCACGAGAAACTGAATGAGGGTTGCCGCGTAGTGAAGACAATATTATTGTGCAAAGAAGTTCTCGGCTCACCGTCCTGTGACTCCGATGAAACCGTGCTAAGCTTTTGTCTGTACTGTGACATACATCATCAGAGCAAGAAGCCATACTTTGTGAAATAGCGCAAAAATATACTAAGCCAGCCGCAAAGGTGACTAACTGCAAAAACCATTAAGCAAGAGAAGGAGGCTGGAGTATCCCCTAGTCTGGTTAGGCTATCACTCCTCTCATGGCATTAACACCACATGCTTAAACATGAGTTATCCTTAGGGGGTGGTACTGTAGCTTATTTAGGTAAGGAAACAACTGCCACCCCATCCACCTACTGTTCATGAATTTACTTCATAAACTTGCAAACATGCATAGTTTGAGATAGTTAACCAGATCATGAGATGCCTTAACGTGTGGTCACGACCCGGTGTATAAAAAGTGACAAGAGTTGCAGTCGAGGACATTTTCTATTGGTTTAGCATATCTTTTGCGCTATTTCATAAAGTATGGATTCTTGCTCTTAGGATATCCGTTACAGTACAAACGAAAGCATAGCGCAGGTTCATCGGGGTCGCAGGACAGTGAGCTAAAGACTTCTCCGCACAATACAAAAGGCTTACATATGCGACAGTCATCCTTCGTTTCCGGTAAGATCATTTTACGACTTCCTTCAAAAATTGAAATTCATGTCAGAGTATGATAAGATGCTTTTATTCGAATTGCTCGTTGATCTTAGCTTATGTAGGCGTTTTTACTTGGCCTATTTGCAGACATTTAAATAAATATGACTGAAAAATAGTTTATTTAATTTTAGCAACTTTATGAAAAGTATTTATAAAACGTAAATAGCCCAAATATTTAACTCGTAGATTAAACTCATTGAGAGATTGCGAAATTAGATTTCAAAATGCAGAGAAATTTGGCTAAATTTCAACCCAGTATATGTTAATTTTAATTAATTAAAATGAGTCTTAGCAAGAAGCCCAGTGACTTACAATGTTTGTCTCATGAAAAAATGACATTAAATAAGAAATATTTAATTGAATCTCATAAATATGTAATTATACAAAATGATTGCATACTCGATATTGACTCCTAAATTTTAATTGCCAGACGAATCGGATTCCACACAAAAATATTAATTCTTTGGTACGCATGCATTGAAAAGAAACTCATTACGTCATTTGCTTATCTAATTCGTATAATGAGATGTATTCACCCTATTTCGTCTAAGGTAATA